TTGCCACTTCAGCTTTTTCCATAGTAGTAGATATCTGTTCACAGAATACAGAATGAATACATCTAAAGTCCTATTCGCACGGGATTAGTTTTACCTAAGGACCACATGTAATAAATAAAATACTCCCCAACGTCTGCTTTTTATGTGGCGCATTCGCACAGGACAACCAAAGCCTGAGATGTAGCTGAAATTTACAGATTTCTTCTGGATATGATGTTAATGTGTTGCGTATTTTGGAGCTGTCAACATGGAGCCCAATCTGGATTCGGACCGGGCCAGTCCATAATAATGTGTTTAATGTGCAGGCCGGGCCGGTCTCGGACTTTGATGCGATTTTATGAATCATACAGCACAAATAAAACTAAATAAGAATGCACAATATAAAATTGTGTTAATCCACTTGTTGAGGAGGAGGCTGGTCCGACCGGTCGGTTAAAAGAGGTAAAACAAGTCGCGTTTAGCTCAGATGGACAACCTGTCACCGGCCGCGTGCATCCGTTGACCCGCTGGTTGAAATGGATTTGCGACCTGTCCAGGGTATACCCCAACTCTCGCAAAGTGATGGCTGGACATGGGCACCAGCGACCCCCGCTACCCAAAAAGGAAGAAGAGGATAAATATAATGGATGGATGGATGGATCAGCTGATCATCGGCGGTGCGCATCTCTGCTGTCATCTGTGGTGAAGGAAGGAGCAGCATCTACAAAAGCCGAAGCGAGCAGCACGTTCATTTAAAATAGCCTTGTTCTATATTTTTACAAATGATTTTGCTTAGAAAACAAAAACAAAAAACGCCTAATTACGTATCGGACCCCACCCATTTCTTTCTAAATCACAGAGATGCCTATTCGCATTGGATTAGTATTATCACAGGACCTCAAAGTTCAGCAAAATATAGTAGGTACTTTGTGGCTGAATTTTTACTTTACAAATTACTGACATGGCCGATTCACACGAGATTAACAACAGACAATCTCTAACTATTACAAATAGCATGTGGTCCCTAGGTAAAACTAATCCCGTGCGAATAAGGCTTAAGAATGCTTTTTTTATGACGATACAGAAACAATTTACCAGGAGTCGGATGGATCTTCCGTTTTAATCATTAGACAAAGAAACTGTAAAACTTGAATGTATATGTACTTTAGATGTTGATGCAATCCATCAGATGAGCATGATGGATCTGGAGTTGCAATTGTGTGGGTCATAAAATTGTCCCAGGTGGTTACAGCAAGGGCAATCGATGAGCTCAGATCAATAGATGGAAGAAGTCCAGTGAACTTTAGCTGAGCAGTTGTGGCGCATGGGGAAAAAAGAAGTGGAAATGCTCATAGAACAAGAATGAATCCGGTGCATCAGAAGCAACAGAGGCATGACGTGATTAATGCAAATCAGACGCCATGTGGGGGGTGCTCGGGGATTCTAGTCTACATCTTCACTGCATGTCTTTTCCTCCAAAGGTTAAGTGGTTGCATTTGCCAGCTAATTTGGCCATATGCTCATCTGTGCATTTGACACAAGCCTGCCATACGCTCACACTGCCAAGGATACCTCTTGAATATGCAGCCAATTAAAACCATTTCCTCAACAGCTCAGTGTTGAGTCTGAAGTTGTTGAATTGAAATGCACGTTGAGATATTACAGACTAATCCGGGATGTTCAAGCTTTAAAGCTTGCATTACAGTGGCTTATGATCCAGTCACGATCACTTGTGCAGAGCACCGTCTTTTGCATAACTTGTTGCATAAGCACTCCACTGGCTGGCACACTCTGTCATGTATGGTCTGTGTCATTTCTGCTTTTGGTAGGGCTTATTACAGTGCAGGCCGTTCCCTAATGTCACTGCAGTTGCAAAACCTCACAAACCATCTCTGCTTTACTTTTTTCTCCTTTTTTTTTTTTTCTTCTTGTCATCTAAGAATTGGCTTCCTGTTTTCATTGCGCTCTCTTTCGCTCTCTGGAGGTGTCGTAACCCAGGAGGCCGTGCCAAGAACAAACCAAGGTCTACTGAGGAGAGATCGCTCTGTGCTTGCAATGGAAACAGACGCACGCACCCACACACATACACATGTAGTGAGTCACGTGAGGTACGTGTCACTTGTTGTATGACAAATAT